GAGAGAGAGAGAGTTGGGGGTGTGAAAGAGAGAGAGAGAGAGAGAGAGAGAGAGAGAGAGAGAAGGGGGAGGGGCGGAAGTGAGAGGACACTCTTGTTGCTGAGCCCTCCGCGACAAAATACGTTGCAAAGTAGATTCCGAGACTCGGCGAGAAGAGAGGGAGGGGAGGGGGATGAGGGGGTTGCAGGCAGGGGCACGGCGCTAGTGAAGGGGTAGGGGGAGAGGGGGCGACACGGCGCGTCGGCGTCGTGTTGAAAAAGACGAGACCGGCGCCGAGCTGCAGAGAGACAAACCGACAAACCACTAGGCCTCCCTCTCTCTTTTCCCGCGAAGTTGGGATTCCGCGGCGGAAGACGAATCGTACCACACCTTGTTAAAGTGCGTCCGCCTCGAGCACTGCGGGGGGCAGGCGGGGGCGGCGCGCGGAGGGATGGCGTGATAGTCGGCCCGAATCCATTTCGAGTGTAGACATGACGTCTGTATAACTCGATTGTCGTCCTGGGTCCTGGCCCGGCCCGGCCCCGGCTCGGCACGGGGTCCATCTGTCGGCGGGAACAAGGCTCTGTATGCTAAGGACCGCCCGCCCCGCCCTCGAGGCCTGAACACTCGCCCTTCCCTCGCCCCCTTCCGTGCCCAACCGCGCCCTCCGTCTTTTCGCGGGTAGTGCCCTCCCCTCCCCCGCCCTACCCCTCCTCGCCTCGCACCTGCACCCTCCCCCGCCCGCACCCGAGACCCTTGCATGTCGTGTAAGAAGGCGATGGCTCTGGGATGATGGCTTGTAAGGGGGCGTCGTCTGTCGGGAGCAGAGGGGTGCGCGACGTGGAGGATGGCGCCCCCCGCGGGCCCAACCCGACGCGACCCTCGGCCCGCCCAGCCGTCCCGGAAAAATATAAAATAAAAGAATTAGGGACGGGGATGCGCGCACACATCCGATTTCGATCTCTCTGTCTCTTTCCTCACCCCTTTGAAAAAATAAAATAAAATATAAAATAAAATCGGAGCAGACAGAGGGAAGGGAGTTGGGTAGAAATAATTGGGTTGTGCGTGCGGTGTGCATGCGTGGATGATCCAATGGGCGCGAGAGGGGGTGGCGCGCCGGCCGGGATGGGACGAGCAAATTGTCATGGCAAACGAGCCGAAAAGTTGGCATCCTGCGACTATGCGTGCCTGCACCCCAATCCCGTCCGTCTGTCTGTCGCTCGCTCACCGACCACCCTTCCTGATTACCCTCCCTCCCCCTCCCTCCCTCTCCCTCGCGCCCGCCCTTGGCCTTGCGGGCGTATTTCTCATACTGACAAACTTGGCGAGGGACGCGGTGTGTGGGTGTTCCTCCTATACTTGCCCGCTCTTGCCGTGGGTATGCGAAACTCGTCAGAGCCGTTGCGCCGAGTGTGTGTATGTGTGTGTGTGGGACGTGTAGGGGGAGCGGGAGCACTGAGGCGGGGACGTCTCGGGGGATTGAGATAAGGCTAGCTTCCCCTTCGCCGCGTCTCGTCTGCTCCTCGCGCCCCTCCTCCGCCCCCGCACCGCGCGCCGCACGGGGACATCTGCCGAGCCATTTTCAATTCCCGCACAGACTGGACGGACAGCTGACGGGCCGCGAAGCGGACGGCCGACCGACCGAACCGCGACCCCGCGCGGTCGTCCTGCGGTGCCCGGTGCCGCTTACTCGCTGTTTTCTGCGATGCCAAGAAAAAATTAAATTATGTTTATCTTTTTCGAGATATTTTTAAAACTTCTCTTAGCAAAGCTCTAAGGTTTATCAGGCGCCTTGTGCGTTTTTCGGCGGTGTCGTCGCACACTGCCGCGTTCGCTGAGACAGGCCCCTCCCCCTGTCTCCTATTCTGCCACTTGCATCGCAACCCCCCCTCCTTCGGCCCGTCTCTTCGCCCCGCCACTCCCGAACCCTCCTTTACCAGGGGGTCGGCGCCAGACGGAAAAGCAGCTACGAGTAACCTACCGGGAAAAGAAGCGCAGAAACGGAGAGGGAATGTTTAAAACTGTAATGAAATCCCTTGAAGCAGGACGTCGTTCTTTGATTGTCTCATGCGGATCTGCATGAAGGGACCGGCCGGCGCTGGGACCGTCGGAGGAGAGTGGACTGGAGGGGACACATTTGATGACGTCTCGTGTCGGCCCCGTATGAATGCCATTCACGGGCCGCGCATTTACCCTCCTCTTTTATTTCTTTTCAATTCTACGCTTTTAACGTCCCCGCTTTTGCCTCCACTCTGCTCTGCGCGCAGCGCGCAGATCCCTTTATTTTTTATTTTCCTTTTTTTTCCAGCGTTGCGGCGTTGCACGCTCTTGATTGCATAATTAGAGCGCTTGTGGGGGGGCTCCTCTCTCCGCGCTCGTTTGCTGGGGGTCATGCCCCTCTCTCCCCTTCGCCCCGCCTCGCTCTCGATACCGTCATTAATGTTGCTGTTTCTCTCAAGTCTTCCTCCTGCCTCACCTCGAAGCTGAGTTGTATGCGAACCTTCCCCCTCCCCCCGCCTCCTCCCCCTGTACTTCGCGACACAATCACTTACAAAGCCCTGGGCGGGGCAAACGCACAATTAACAAAGTAAATTAACCAAGGGAATTTCGGAAAACTGGCGCTCTAATTCGATAAAGAAATCATGAGCACCGCGGCGTGTCGCGGCGTGGCTTAGCGCGGCGGAGTAGCGGCGCCGAGAGAGAGAGAGAGAGAGAGAAGGAGGAG